GAACTTTTTGGAAATGTAGCGATCGATTTAGATTGAACTCAGCACTTCGTCGTGACGTAAGAGGGATTTCGGCCATTTTTCGAAAGAATGAGCGCTTGCATATTTAGAACGCTTGGAGAGTCGACGGACGAAGAATTAAGCGTATCTTTTGCACACGGTATCCGTTTTGGGCCCATAAGAACTTTTTGGAAATGTAGCGATCGATTTAGATTGAACTCAGCACTTCGTCGTGACGTAAGAGGGATTTCGGCCATTTTTTGAAAGAATGAGCACTCGTAACTTTTTCACACGGTGTCCATTTTGGGCCCATAAGTACTTTTTGGAAATGTAGCGACCGTTTTGGAATGAACTCACCACTTCATCGTGACGTACAAGGGATTATTGCCATTTTTCGAAAGAATGAGCACTTGCATATTTAGAATGCTTGGAGAGTCGACGGATGAAGAAGTTAGCGTAACTTTTGCACACGGTGTCCGTTTTGGGCCCATAAGTACTTTTTGGAAATGTAGCGATCGTTTTAGATTGAACTCAGCACTTCGTCGTGACGTAAGAGGGATTTCGGCCATTTTTCGAAAGAATGAGCACCTGAATATTTGTAGTGCCTGGATTGTTCGCGTTCGAAGGATTGAGCGTAACTTTTGCACACGGTGTCCGTTTTTGGCCCATAAGTACTTTCTGGAAATGTAGCGACCATTTTGGATTGAACTCACCTCTTCGTCGTGCCGTACGAGGGATTTTGGCCATTTTTCGAAAGAATGAGCTCTTGCATATTTAGAACACTTGGAGTGTCGACGGACAAAGAATTGAGCGTAACTTTTGCACACGGTGTCCGTTTTGGGCCCATAAGTACTTTTTGAAAATGTAGCGACCGTTTTCGATTGAACTCACCACTTCGTCGTCACTTATGAGGGATTTTGGCCATTTTTCGAAAGAATGAGCTCTTGCATATTTAGAACACTTGGAGTGTCGACGGACAAAGAATTGAGCGTAACTTTTGCCCACCGTGTCCGTTTTGGGCCCATAAGTACTTTTTGAAAATGTAGCGACCGTTTTCGATTGAACTCACCACTTCGTCGTCACTTATGAGGGATTTTGGCCATTTTTCGAAAGAATGAGCTCTTGCATATTTAGAACACTTGGAGTGTCGACGGACAAAGAATTGAGCGTAACTTTTGCCCACCGTGTCCGTTTTGGGCCCATAAGTACTTTTTGAAAATGTAGCGACCGTTTTCGATTGAACTCACCACTTCGTCGTCACTTATGAGGGATTTTGGCCATTTTTCGAAAGAATGAGCTCTTGCATATTTAGAACACTTGGAGTGTCGACGGACAAAGAATTGAGCGTAACTTTTGCCCACCGTGTCCGTTTTGGGCCCATAAGTACTTTTTGGAAATGTAGCGACGGTTTTGGATGGAACTCACCACTTCTCATGACGTACGAGGGGTTTTGGCCATTTTTCAAAAGAATGAGCACTTGCAAATTTAGGACGCTTTGAGGGTCGACAGACGAAGAATTGAGCGTAACTTTTGCACACGGTGTCCGTTTTGGGCCCATAAGTACTTTTTGGAAATGTAGCGACCGTTTTGGATTGAACTCACCACTTCATCGTCACGTACGAGGGATTTTGGCCATTTTTCGAAAGAATGAGCACTTGTGTATTTGGAACGCTTGGAGAGTCGACGGACGAAGAATAAAGCGTATCTTTTGCACACGGTATCCGTTTTGGGCCCATAAGTACTTTTTGGAAATGTAGCGACCGTTTTGGAATGAACTCACCACTTCATCGTGACGTACGAGGGATTATTGCCATTTTTCGAAAGAATGAGCACTTGTGTATTTGGAACGCTTGGAGAGTCGACGGACGAAGAATAAAGCGTATCTTTTGCACACGGTATCCGTTTTGGGCCCATAAGTACTTTTTGGAAATGTAGCGACCGTTTTAGATTGAACTCAGCACTTCGTCGTGACGTAAGAGGGATTTCAGCCATTTTTCGAAAGAAGAGCACCTGAATATTTGTAGCGCCTGGATTGTTCGCGTTCGAAGGATTGAGCGTAACTTTTGCACACGGTGTCCGTTTTTGGCCCATAAGTACTTTCTGGAAATGTAGCGACCATTTTGGATTGAACACACCTCTTCGTCGTGTCGTGCGAGGGATTTTGGCCAATTTTTCGAAAGAATGAGCACTTGCATATTTAGAACGCTTGGAGAGTCGACGGACAAAGAATTGAGCGTAACTTTTGCACACGGTGTCCGTTTTGGGCCCATAAGTACTTTTTGAAAATGTAGCGACCGTTTTGGATTGAACTTTCCCCTTCGTCGTGACTTATGAGGGATTTTGGCCATTTTTCGAAAGAATGAGCACTTGCATATTTGGAAAATAAAGTTTTGGAATCCATAAAATATGTAATTAAAATTAATTGTTATTTTGATTTAGATTAAAATCTATATTTTAATCGATGCCAAACAGGGGCTTAATATAATTATAAAGACAACTATGCCCCAAATTTTGAAGATAAAATTAACAAAATGCCAAATTTCAACGAGCAATACAAATTACGAGCAAATTTTGGCAAACAGAATTACAATGCAATGGCAAAAGCGTATGCTCATTTGTATGATTATTTTCTCACTGCAACTATTTTAAATAAAATTGAATATACATTTGAGTGATCTATGTACAAAATTGGAGAATGTAATTGCAAAAGATAGTGTACAAAATAATGAAAATGGTGATAAAATACAAATGGACTTCTAATTTTATATTAATTTATAAGAAATTAACTTAAAATAAGAAGTATTTATATGAACAATGATAGAGAATTATTAAATTCAAAGTACTTTCAGCAAACATCTAAAAATATTATTATTATGAGATTAAAATAAAATAATATAATAACAATCTATATATTATGTACTATATGTTTTGAAGATAAAAGAGAAAGAAAGAAACATGTAAGGTTGTAACAATGGAGCGAGATCAAACAAAATTGCATTGAATCTTCAAAATTTTAATTCAAAGAGAGATAATTTATATTTTGTTGGGTTGGAAAAATAATGGTGGTTGATTGTCGAAAATAGAATTTGAAAAGACAAAGAGACATTCTCTTTGGTTAAAAAAAGAAAATGAATGTTTGGAAGATAAAGTGTTAACTTAATTATAAATATGAAAAATAGTGTTTGTGATAAATAAATGTCAGTGATAAATTTGTTGCCATATATATATTTTAAAGATTTTTATATTTTCAATTTGGGTAATTGACATAAAACGTCCCTACCTTTTATGTCTATTGTGGAAAACGTCTCTACCTTTTATTTTTTGACATTTTTTTTTCCTTATTTCCACATTTCTTGGCATTGAACGTCCTTTTCACCAATTTTGGACAATTTTACACTCCATTTAAATAAAAAAAAAAGAAAAGAAAGGAAACAACAAATAACTAATTGCAACCACAGCCCCCGATTTTTAAAGAATTACAAATGGCATCCACACATCAATAAATTTTTCAGCATAGGTGCCAACAATCATGAAACCCAATTTCCGGCACCAAGGCCACCAAATTTTAACACCACCACCATCTTCTCATCAACCCTAATATCCCCATGCAAATTTCAGCCCAAATTCCAACAAAATCGAGCCAAATTTTGCTCAAAAATTGCCTCTCACGCATCATATTATTGCAAATTCGACCAAATCCATGGATGCTCATGTTCCATACAACCCATAGATTGCTCAAGCTCACCAAGATGCATCCATACATGTTCCAATTATAGCAAACAACCTAGAAAATCGAGATCTACAGCCAATTTTCGAGTCAACGAACTCGCAGCCGATAAAGCCATTTTTTGGTGAGGGTGGTGGGACCCATGATCGCCGACGACCACTACTCATCATGGCGCATCTACTGAGCATAGGAGGCTTCCTCAATTTGGCGTTGAAATGGGTGTTCGTCCAGAAATAGTAACATAAATAGAAATCGGTCCAATCCCCTTTCAATTGGCATCCCTCCACGACTCCAATCTACAAATTGCATCAATCGACATGCAATTGAAGGTCAAACGATGCTAGATATGGATTTAATTGCTTCAATTCATCAGCCAAATGCAATAATTTTGGATTTGACCTCACGAAATGTGCGGTCGCGCGAAGAGGATAATCCTCCATCAATTCGTGAGTCTAATGTGTCCCAACTTATGAATCAACTTGGGAAAACTCAAATTCAGGCCCAAAAACACTGGGTAATTGTTCAATTTTATAAATTACAGCACTCATTTGCCAAATTTTGGAGTCAAATGGTGTCCTTCACACACTCGAAGAAGAAGGAATAGAAACTGGATGCCATTTGTAATTTTTTAAAAATTGAGGATTGTGATTGCAATTAGTTATTTGTTGTTTCCTTTCCTTTCTTTTTGTTTTATTTGAATGAAGGGTAAAATTGTCCAAAATTGGTGAAACTGACGTTCAGCGTCAAGAAATGTGGAAATAGGGGCAAAAATACCAAAAAATAAAAGGTATGGACGTTTTCCACAATAGACATGAAATGTAGGGACATTTTGTGCCAATTGCACTTTTCAATTTTTATTAGTTTCTTATATTTGTATATGATAATTCTATTTTCAGAATTTCATAAATATAATTTTCATTTTTCTTCAACCAACCAATTAACTTTACATAATTTGGGGCCCTCACTAAAACGGGGCTTTAGGCGATCGCCGACTTCGCCTATGCTCAGGGCCGCTAATGTGAATGAATATGTTATCTTCTTCGTGGTTTCAAGGGCCAATCCTCCTAATATTGGAGTACAGATTATTGGGCAAGAGTGTTGAAGCATGTTTGGTGTGTAGAATGGGGCAAAACTGAGCCCCGGTCGTAATAGATGTATCCTTGAAGTTGAAATTGAACTTCGATAATGAAATTATTGTGTAAATCTTCAAAAGTGTAGGTAACAATATTACACAATCGTATTCAATTTGAGTTTGTTTTAACAATAAGGTTTCATGTGCAATAATGATTGCCAGTTTCTTCTACTGAAAATGAATTGTCCAAGCGAAAAATATGAAGAAATAAAGCTGCTCATCCTACCAAAAAAGGAACAAAATGGTTCGTGCATATGTTACAAGATACACTGAAATCACAAGGATGATTTTTTTTATTTTTTTTATTTTTTTTTTAATGATTTACCTAGGAAGATCTTATGTCTGAGAGACTAAAATCTTTACCTGGCGGCCAGGGAAATGAAGGGGAATCACTGCTCAGTGGAGATGGGGAAGGCTCTGTAGTAGAATCCCACAAGAGCTTCTCGTCTTTCCTTTGTTTTCCATCCAAGAAGACAGGTCTAGTAAGTTTTCCAGCTACATCTACCTTGCACGTTAACATTGCCACAATCTCAGACATTGGGGGCCTTAAATTCGCACAAGGCTTAAGGCATAGGAAGGCCACGTGAATTGCCTGCAAAACATCCTTCTCCAGAGACCTGTCTCGGATTCTTGGATCTATGAGATTGACCAACTTCGACCGCTCATATAGCTTCCAGGCCTTGTAACGCATGTATTGCAGAAAGATAAGTAAACTTGAATTTCACTATGTGATCAGAAAGCAAATCTAAGTTTAGAAAGTCTTCAAAAGAGCCTACATATTCAGGGAGGTATTGCATTTCTGAGGGCAGAGAAAGATCCGTGTTTTTCCTGCAGCTAATAATTTCAAGCACCAATACTCCAAAACTGAATATGTCGGCCTTTTCAGACAATTCTCCTCTAATGGCATACTCAGGCGCAGTGTAACCTCTGCACAAACACAATGTATTTCAATTATAACGTCAATGGATGCTTTATGAGAAACCAAAAGTGATAGTCAGCATAGCTCTTAGAAGACTAAACTAATCAATTGATGATGCGTCACAAATGTTGACAAACTTACATTCTTTTAACTCCTTAATCTTTCTTTCAGTTTATGTTCAACTTTATCACTGACAAGAACTCAATTCTTATACTTTCTATATGCAGAAATTTTTCCAAGCCTCGACCCAATATATAAAGTTCTTGGCGTTCTTCTAAAATTAAGCATTAGCTTTTCTGACCTTTTTTGGAAGATAGGCATTTCTCCTTCACATTCCCAAGAGAATCTAAAAGTTGAGTCAATATGCTCTATAATTTGCAAACAGAGCCAAACTTTAAGCCTATGTTTGGCTCATGTTTATGAACTATTTATAAACAATCAAGCCACTTTTTATCCATACATTTTGAGAGACTCATTAGTACTACTCACTTATCCACCATTCATTTTTATCAATATATAATTCACACCATTTGTAAACACTTTCAAGGCATGCTCTTTTATCTGTAGTTTACGGAAGAACACTGAGAGAAATAAACCAAGAAAGAGAAACTTTACATGATTCAGGTGATAAAAACTATGGGCATTGTGATCAAATACCAACTTATTCCTGTTATATATTTATTTGTTCTTCAGAAACTTCTTTTTTTTTGAGGCATGAATATTAATCACCATTCTTTGTGAGTATGAGTGGTATTCTACTTGCACAAGGAAAAGCACTTACAAGGTTCCAGCAAATCTAGTGCTGAGAAAATCTTGACCTTCAGGAAAAAACCTGGCTAGGCCGAAATCTCCAATCCTAGGTTGAAATTTGTCATCCAGGAGAATGTTGCTCGCTTTGATATCCCTGTGTACAATCCTGATGTGTGAATCCTCGTGCAGGTATTGCAACCCTCGAGCAATCCCAAGAATTATTTGGAAGCGAGTTGTCCAGTTTAAATATGTTCCACTTTTCTCTGCACCACACAATAATCAAACCAAAAACCCAAGACAGTTGTTTAGGAATTTAATCATTTAGCGAACTATGCTTTCATTTATCTCTGGGTAGGATCGATATCAACAGAAAACTATTATAAGGATAGAAAATAAAGTGCAAAGTCCAGCACTGTCTTGTGGCTTCAAGTTCTTCAGGACGAGAATAATCATTTATTTCACACATTATCATGCTTCTATTTCACTAGCTACATATGCATGAATTCAAAAGGAAATGACATTGGCTTCAGGTTGGAAGGTTCACAGTGTTCACTAACCACATTATCGTTTTGGTAGAGATATTGATGAATAAAATCCCACATCCCTCCCTCTAACAGTCGTTCAGTCTCTAAGCAGTTATAATCATATATTACACGTATTATATACAAATATTAGTTATGACTGCCCAATTCTCTTTCAACTCCATTTATTTATTTTCTTTCAATAAGCTTCAAAAAGCCCATGATCAAGCACAGCACAACATGTTTCGAGTAACATGGGTCAACTCAGAGAGAACTATAAATGGTACCATATATGATGAGGTCTAAACTCCTATTCTTCATGTATTCGTACACTAGTAGCCTCTGAGCTCCATCAGAGCAACACCCCAGAAGACGAACCAGGTTCTTGTGCTGTATACTAGTGATCAACCTCACTTCGGCAAGAAATTCCGATTCTCCTTGTTGTGATTTGTCAAGTGACAACTTCTTTACAGCAATCAACCTCCCATCTTCTAACTTCCCCTATTAAACGATCAAATGGAAAGAGTAATTATAAATAAAATATGCATTCTAATGCAAATGAGGTCATTTTCTAATTCTAAATACAATGAGAATATGGAAAGGATAGTCATTTATTCACATGAATTGCAGAAATCTGTAGTGCGCAAGGGTCCCAAATGTTGGATCGTGTGCAACCTAATATAAAGGAATCTATGGGAATCATTTTTCTGCACTATGAGAAACAAAACATAAAGGTCTGAAATCTCTTTCGCAAACTACTCTCTATCGATTTAAGTGAAAACAGTTAAACAAGCAAAGGCAGGTGGAACTAGCTCCGCATTTAGGGCAAACCAGTATAATCTATGTACTGCTTTGCATTTTCCCAATTTATGCTCGCTTTTTATTGCACTCAAGATTCAGATTAGGTTCAACTCCTAACTCCTCAAAGGTCTAACCCACATTTTAAATTTTTTTATTTGAAATAATAATATCTCACAAAGGGACTATGCTCTGCATCATTACCATGAAAACTGGTCCGAATCCACCTCTTCCAAGCACGTTCTTCTCTTGGAAATTTTTGGTAGCCTTCTTCAGTGTCTGGAAATCATAATAGCTTATTGTGTGAAGATTTCCACTTATGACATCCTTCGCTACTGCAACAGATTAAAAAATTAGATCCTAATGAAGTAATGCAGCAGAATTCACGATGCTATTACATCATCAAAACTGCAACCTGGTTGCTTCATTGTGCGAGGAATGAACATTTTCAATTTTGCCGGTTTAATAGTTTTCCGGAACACAAATATCAGGATAAGTGCAATGAGGAGTATGACTATCCCTCCCAGGAAAAAGAATAGAGCCAGTGAAGGCTGACTAGACGTGGTGCTCTGTTCTTCAAGCGAGGATGATGGAGTGATAATTTCATTCACATCCCATTTCCTTGAAACTGCATTTCATCAAGGTAAAAATGTTAGAGCCACATAGGAGAATTTATCTTTATGAAGAAGGTAATAGGACATCCAGTAATGCAGCAATTGCATCAAAGTATGTAATGGAATAAATTTAAACCTCTTTTCCTTTCTTACTAATGTCTATCTAATCCACTTGTAACCAAGAACAGTCCTTGATATTTTCATATGGTTATTTGAAGATCCTATTATTATGTGTGAAATAGCAATGCAGCTATGGAAATCTTTCATGTAAGAATAATTGATAAATTACTGGAAAATATTTTTGGATTAAGGCCCATTCTAATAAAACAACACCAGCAGCAATCTAAACCATATTCTCAATGAGCATTGAGGTTGAAAACATAAATTCTCCATTCCCTCGGCCATACTCTGATTAATCTAAGAATTTTAAAAACAATTCAAAAATTGAAAAATTAATAACACTAAAATTGATATTTCACGCGTTCAATTTCGTTTCTGATTGCTTTACAGTGTAAAACATAAATATAATTCAGTGTAAAACTAAAAACCCGGTCACCGTACATACCATCCAGTTCTAAACGAGGCATTTCCCTCAACAATATCTACAGCAATAAGCAAATTTCTTTTTTTTCTCCGTAGAATGGAGAAAAAAAGGTATTGCATTCAGGCACAGCCGTCCCAGAATGTGTATAGAATTAAGAAGATTATGGAATTAATCGAAACTCGAAAGCGAAGGATTTCGGAGAGTCCAATGTGTAAATATTTTGAGTGGGATTTCCAGTTAGGCGCCATTAAACGTAGGACAAAACACTACGCGTCTTCTCTTCTACTGTTACGGGACGGCTGAATTAAAAATGTAAACTTTATTTTTATTTTTCGATATAAGCCTAAAATTATTTCAATAATATAATCAGTTTAATTAATGAAGACCAAAATTTGGAAAAGAAGAAGTTTCCAAATTAATTATTGTTTAATTAATTAACAAGTTCACAGAAACAAGGATGAAAGTTCTGAATAGAGACAGTTTGGGAAATCATTTTCATCGAGCTTTGGTTGTGAAAGGAAAGAAGATGAAACTATTAGCAATAATTGTTTGAAAAATGCCGAGTGTACACTTAGTTTGTACAAGTGGGCGGTGGGCCTCACGATTATTTCAATTGCCAGGTATACTCGTGTGATGTGAGAATGCTGTCAAAGATGATATAAATAATGGTGTACTTAAAGCATGCTTCGAATTGTTTTCTTTTTAGTAGAATTATATTATTCTTAAGTAGAATTTAATTGTTATCTTGGCGAAAAAGATCATCTTGCGTTGATGCTACTCGAAAATTGAAACCTTGTTTGAGTTAGTGGTAACCTATAGGGCTGTAAATGGATCGGATATAGATTGGATTTCCCAAATCTGATATGATCCGTTAAAAAATTATCTTATCCAATCCGATCCAATAATTCAACGAATATTTGATTATTAAATCCATATTCGATCTGTCATGTTATCGGATATCCGATCCGATAACTCGATTCGAAATTGAAAAAATTAGAAAAATAAAAATTTTAGCCAACTTCTAACCCTAAAATTAAAAGGCCAAGATAGTTTTTTACCCAATTCTTAGCCTACTTATTTATAGAATTTTATGATATTCTAGTGAGTATCCAATGTAGGAAGTGATAAGTTGAAAATAATGAAAGCAATTACAATGTTGGCTCCTTTGGTTGTTTAATTTATAAAATAAATTAATTATTATTTTTATCTTATTTTAATTAAGAAAAAATTAAATCTCTTCATAAATTTCAATTAACAACATTATACTATTATCTAATATTATTAGTTATTTGGAAATTATGTTTAAGTATAATACAAGTTTCAAAATAATAATAATAATAATAATAAAATATGTGTAATAAATTACGCGATAATATATAAAATATATTATATTATTGTAATAAATTGGATCGGATTGACCTATATCCATATTTGCTCCATTTAATTAACGGAATATCGGATTCGGATCTTGATCGGGTGATCGAACAGATGTTCTAAATCCATTTTCCGTTAATTTCATTGTATACGGATCAAAATTCAATCCATTGACAGATCTAGTAACCTTGGGATCAATCAAGTGGTGTTATTATATCATTGTATCTTTCTTATCGTCATACTATTTGTTTGTCATTGTCACGTTACGTGAAAAAATTCATTGAAATGTAGGAATTGTGTTCTCTAGGATTTTGAAATTTGAAATTCTTATTACTATATCGGATTATTAAAAGCTTCTAGTCATAAAATGAAAATTGGGCTCTAAGAAAAGTTTCGATAAGGTTGAAGGATAACTGATGTAGCGCAGCTAAAGCTATGAAATAAATTGACGAACGTAAATTCGAAATTTTGTTGAGTCTGAGCGAATACCAAAATACGATCATATTCTAGTTTTTATTGATTCTTGAATAAAAAAATCTAGACATTAAACTTTTTGATTCGCACACGAATTAATTTTTAAAAATATATGAGAATCTACGAAATTAAAGGGCTCTCAACAATTCAAATTCCACCATATTATTGCCATAAGACTTATAATTCGTACTTAAAGCAATAGATAAATCTGGATAAAAATCAAACTCGCCTAAATCTAGATAATAATTAAATTAAGGATAACGATTAACTCTAAAGGAATTAAAATCTTAATCTAATTAAAATTATGAATCCTAATCCTAATTAAAGACTAAACTAATTATAATTAAAATCATCCAAATTCAATCTTCATCAATAACTAATCCTGCATTTGTCTTCATACTTATCAAACACAAAGTTACTTTTTAAAGTGGTCCATTGTCTTCTTCCATCCTCGTGGAAGTCATTTTCACTTATATAATGTACTTTTAAGTGGGGTTTGGTGCATTCTCCATCTCAAGATGAAAAGTACCGACAATATATTGTTTAAGAAAACCTAGCAGCATATGGATGTTATAATTGTCAATTTATAATGAAAAACTTATTTGTGCTGGATGAAGTAAGAATCTACCAAAAAATTTGGCTTGTTGGATATAAAGAGTTGATTTTTAAATTAATTTTGGTATCTTCTCCTTGAAAGTAAACAAAGTAAATTTTTAATTTTATTGTAATGCGTAGAAAGGCTTTTTTTGTTTTGTGAAGATTCTAACCTTCTTTATGGAAGAGCATAGGTTAACTTCCCAACTACCTTCTTGTCCTTTTCCTTTTTCTTTGCTCTTTTCAAAAATTTGTGTAAATCAGTCCACAACTTTTACACTTTCTACCAAATTCATTCCGAACATTTAAAAAAATGACCTTTTAGTTGTTTAATGTGTAATATGGCGCAAAATCCCTCTAACCTTTATCCCTATTTCTGATTACTCCCATATCCTTTCATATTGATGAAAAGTCCCTTATATAATCTTTAAGGTGCGGAAGATCCCCTGCTGTCCATCTCTGTTGGTAGGAGGAACATGGGGCAAACGGGAGAGAAATAGATTTTTTATTTTTGTTTATTTATTAGGGACTCATTTGTACATTTCAAAAAAAAAATTAGGACTATTTTTGCAATTAATTCTTTATTTTTCTTCTTCTTTTTATGTTGTTTTATTTAAAGATGATGGCATATTCGTCATTTCACAAGGTTTTATTGCAAAAATAAAAGAGAATGTCGTATTCCATACTTAAAAGTTGATCTAAGGGGTTTTCGTCAATTTGAAAGGATACGAGGCATTCCTCAATAAAGGCAAAGGTTTAGAGTTTTGCATCAATTATCCAATTTCAAAATTATTCATTTTTGGGGGGTTTTCGAGGGGTTATGCTCCAATAACCCTTCTCTAATTTTTACTCCTATTTGCGTATTTCTTTTTTGTGTTATTTTGTTACAACTTACAACACTTCCTTGAGTTCCTCGTGTTTAGAAAGGGAAGGTTTACATAACATTATATTCTTAATTCGATTTTTTTAGACGTAAAAATTTCCTTCATCAAAATATATTTGAGTGCATGATCATTTACCAAGAAAATTATGTAAAATATTCGAAGAAATACGGTAAGTTTTTAAATATTTTCACTTAACTGAAGTATAATTGTATTTTTTATTTTTTGAGTTTGTTTGAATCAAAACTTGATTTTATTTATTAAAAAAAAAAACCAATATTGTCAATATTTTCTATTTTATGTACTTTTTAACTAAAAATTGATTTTCTCTAATAATGTTTTGAATATCACATGTTGTTTTTTGTTTGATTATTGAGCTTTAAGTTAATAAATTTAGTTTAATCTAATCAACTTTTGAGTTAAATATTTCATTAGTCACCAAATTTTTACCTTTGTCTTTACTCAATGAACGTTGAAACATTATCGAGTGGTCATTGAGTTTTAATACATTATACTTCATTACTCACTCACCATGTTCCATTAGTTATTGAACTTATACATGTCACGCTTTATTTATTGAACTTTAAAATGTTTCTGAGTGATCACTGAACTTTACTCACCGAATCCAACTTTTTAATTCTTTGAGTATAAAATACCATACACGAAGAAGTCATCATTGTTTCCTCTTGAATTATTTTGTAACAACTCTATAAATTATCTTTTGTTCTTCATTGATATTTTAGACTCTAAATCGAAAATTTCACTATTTGTTTGAGATATAAATTTTTATTTTCTTGATTGGGTTTTACGATCTTATCGAAATAAAGAAATTATTTCTCTACATAAAGGAAGATTATAATCTAAATTAAGATTTATGTCAATTTGAAGTTAGCATTCTTGTATTCCCTTGAACATAACTTTTTGATGACTAAACAAATTATATCTTTTTGACCAATATTAGTAGTTTCATCTTAGATAGAGAGTCTTGTTATTATTTATTTTATTTTCATCTTATATTGAGAGTCTTGTTATTATTTTATTTTCATCTTAGATCGAGAGTCTCATAGAAAATCAACTTTATTCTAAAACATTATGAATTTATGAAGTTTAGTGATTACACGAAAATATTTTAAGTTCGCTGATTAATGAAATATGGTTGTGAGTTGAATGCAATGTGTTAAAATTCAATACCACTCAGAAGCATTTTAAAGTCACAGTCTTATGAAACATGATAAGTTAAGGACAACGTGCAACATGTTAAAATTTAATTTCTACTAAGAACAATTTAAAGTTGAATGAATAATGTAACATTTAACTCAATTCTAACGTCAAGTCCCACCTAACTTGTACAACGCGTCACTCCTAGCATTGCTCTTTTGCTCCTTACTCAAGAAACTCAGCTCGTATCATCTACTCCTCTTCTTCATCTCGGCGCATAGCATCCCAGATACCAAATTCTTATTCACACGTTTCTCCCTAGTTTCATACAAGAAATACAGAAGGATAAAAATTCCTAAAAATCGAAACAAAGAAAGAGAAAACATGGCCTACGTGGATCACGCGTTCTCGATATCGGACGAGGACATAATGATGGAATCCTCGTACACAGTGAGCAACAAGCCGCCAATCAAGGAGATCGCACTCGCTATCTCGCTTTTCGTCTTTGGCGCCATCGGAATCGTGATCGGCATTGCCATGGCCATCAACAAAGTCGGTGGCGATTCAGCCCACGGTAATAACTTAAATTAAATTTCCCCATTTTACTTCCCGCTGCCTCCCTTAATTTCCATTCACCCACTTCATACTTGTTTAATTTTGCAATTTTAATTTGTACTGTTTTAATTAGGTTTCATTTTGTGGGTTTTTTGGCTTCAAGGCAACGGTTTCGGCGTTGTAGTTATATACAATGCTCGTGTGATTAATTAATTTCCAGATATAACTGAGATAAAGAGAGGGGGGGGGGGGGGCCCC